GTTTCACTGCACCTCAGACACATAATTATTTCAAAAGCAAACTGTTAAAATGAAGTGTATAGATATATTAACACATTAATGACAAATGCAGGTACCAGCAGTACTGGTTATTGAACCTCTATACTTTTCGGTAGAGACTGAAAAGTGTCAGTAACATCCAGTATCAAAAACTGATCTGAAACTGTTCCTGATTGAAATCAAAATTTCAGACGACATTTACCATTTGAGAACTTTGGTTTCTTTTTTTAAGTAAAGAAAAGGAAAAGTCAGATAATCACACTACTATTGGCACTTTTGTGGATTCGTTCAGAAATACTAAACCCTGCCGTAAAATACACAACTCGCTTTCCTCATAGTCCAGTGCTTGATTGACTCTGTGAGCTCCAGCACCACATTTCAAAGCACTATCCATGCAGAGGTGGTGACATTTTAATGTGTTGTGTTGTAAATTTTCTGCCTTTTATTTTATTTTGTGATGGATTTGCTGACAGAAAAACGACGGCGTTAAAATGTGGAAGCATAGAGCGCACTATCCGGTTTGTATTGGTTAAGTAGCCTCTGCTGCAACTCTTAGATTAGATTTTCTTTGATAGGGACAATGCAATTTCACGTAGTTCCAATGAGTATGGGACTGATGTGTTGCACAGAGAGTTTATAGCCATTGCTAATTTTCAAGTCTTGTCCCTAGTTGGGCTTTTACATGTAGACCAAAAATGGTATTAAAAATATACAGTTTAAAACATCAAAAGGGAGGAGAGGTTGGAGGTTGGGCACCATTTGCCTACAGTAACACTGTCCTGCCACCACGGCTCAGAGCGGTGTAACCAGCTGTTATCAGCAAGTGAGCAGCGGCAGCTAGCGAGGAAGTGTAGCCTGAATTTATTATTAGCTTATTAGCTTTATTCTTAATGTGGTTCAACATAATGCAGCTTATACTACCAAACTGAAGAGTAGCATACGACAATTTACATTTGACTTTGTTGCCTTTCTGGAGGAAATATACCCACAACAAGCTTTGTTTAGTGTGCTTAATTTTGTGCCTAGCTACCTGGCAAAGTCATTAGCTGAGTGTGGGTGTGTATTTAAATTAATCTATAGAGGGGCGTCGGCCATTTCTGCTCTCAGAGTGGTGCTTGTTGGAAATGTGTTCTGCACTCCCCCCTCACTTAACAACCACCCACAGCCAGCCCAAAACCCCACCCCACCTACAGCTGAAAGGAAACAAGATGCTTCAGCATCCTTCTCTGCATAGCTCTCAGTCCCTCACACGCAATTACAGCAACTCTGCATTCTCACGGCAGAGGGGTTAACCTCTCCAAAATCCCATCAGTGCAAACACACACACACAGGCACTTCAGAATTGATTGGGAGGACGAGGAGGTGGAGACGGGAGGAAAGACGAGAGGAGAAGAGGGATTAAGAAAGAAGAGGGAGAGGCAGGGAGCACGACAGATGAAGGAACACAGGGATGAGGTATTTGATGAAGTTTTGACCAAGAGGAAAAAAGACATAAATCAATCAAACAATGTTTAGGTACATATCAAAACTGAAAAGGCAGGTTTCTTAAAAGGCTTTAAAATCAGTCATTTAAAATTAAGGTGTTAATTGGTATTAAAATATATGAAATCAGTCTTTCAAAAGTCTTAAAAATGTTGAGAAATGCAAGGAAGGATTTTTTGATTTGTGTTTTTCTGACATTGCATTGTACAATCTCCAAATGATAACTTTTTTTTTTTTCTTTTTAGAAATAGTTACTAAAACCAAATGCCTCTCACAGTAACATCACACAGATCAGGATAGGGGAACCAACAGCACTTTGTTTCTGGGTTGGACGCTCAGAGCAGAGTATCCACTGTCTGCTAGCTGGCTGTCACTGTACCTGAGACCAGTGGTTCCCAACTGGTGGGTTGCAGTCCAAAAGTTGGTCACAGGTCCAATCTGAACGGACTGCAAGTGACTCATGAATGTATTGAGTTTGTAAAAACACCTTTTATTTAGAAGTACAGTGAATTTGCAGCACAGAGCTTGAATTGTGAAGTGCTGTTTCCTGCTGTAGAGTGACTCACAAACAGACAGCTATTTAACAGAGACAGTAAACTAACTTGATGACATGGCCAAACACAAATATGACAATGAACAGATTAAGCTTTGTGGACATTAATGACTAAGGAGAGATCTGGACCCTGTGGCTGGAGCAGTTGGGAACCACTGCTATATACAACATGGGGAAGTGAAAATTGATCATTGGCTCTTCAACTAGGATTTTGCTGCATGGCTGAAACTTGTACAAGCAAGGCAGCGCATATGAGTTTTTAAACTCAGCATGATGGGAATAACTTGCAGAGTGAAAAAGAAAATCACCAAGAAACACCAGACGTTTCCCAGTTCTATTCTACCCTTTTCTCCACAACACCCCCACCCCCATATCCAACATTAGCAGCAAAAGATCCCTGATCAACATTCGGGCATACGCCTAAGCAGAAAGTTGAGGTACTGCATGAGCATCACTTATTCCATGCAATGCTTATTTTAAATTAGGGTTGCCCTGTAACAGTTGTCCCAACGTTAGTCGAGCTGTAGGAACCCCGACTGTTGGTAATGCTGATATACAGTATATTGGGGGTCATTAATAGATTTTTAAAATGAATAAGTAAACACTAACTAAAAAATTTATAGGGATTCATTAAATTTGGATATTATCGTAGAGAATTGTCACCAAGAAGGATACTAAGCAGGATATTTTACTGTAGGAAAATACTGAAAGTTCTTTGTTACTCGCTGACATTTATGCCGAGATAAAATTTTCAAACTAAAATTGGGTGATAATGCCATGCAGAGAGATACATGAACGAGGAGAAGAAGAACAGGAAAGTTTCAGAAAATAATAGGAGGAGGGAGGGAGGGAGTGTGAATGGGTGAGGGCGGGTATTCGTGTCTGATCAGAGCAGTTAGCAGGGGAGCTGTGTACTTGTGAATAGACAGCTTAGTGGCCATTATGCGGTCTGGGGGATTTGTCTTGTTCACTATTGTTCCCCTCAGGAGGTAGCAGCACACACACACACACACACACACACACATGCAGACACATGCACATAAACACACACTCTCGTCCTGTTTCTTTGATTTAGATTTTTTTCATTTCATAAACTAGTTTTACTTTATTACTTTATGTCTCTATCATATATAAAAAGTGATGCACCCACAATTTGGAGGCTAAAAACACACATACACACGCTGTGCCCTCAGCCCACCCCCCACCCCGTAACTCAATAATAGGCCAGTCTATTGACAGACCTGCTTGTTCGCTGAAGGAGTCTTTTCTCATTAGGGCTGGGATTTTGTCGCTGGCCCTGCAGGCTCCATTGTCCCACTCAGAGCGGGTTATTAGGCCTTCCCGCTGTAACAACCCCCCTGCTGAATAGACCTGAGAGGAGTGGAGAGCCTGCAAAGGGCAGGACAGGGTCTGGCAATTAGCAAAGACATGTTTGAAGAGAGGAGGGAGAGGGAAGAATGGGAGAATCAAATAGAAAGAGAGAGCGGACCTGTGCTACAAAAAGGCTTCTTTTGAAGTTTTAGAAACTTTTGTCTGCTTTTTGCTGCTTCGCTCTTGCGCCATCATCAAAGCCAAAGACTGGTTCTTCAACACGCAACGTCCCTCCTCCTCCTCCTCCCTCTCCCTCCTTTCTTTTCTCTGCCGTTCTTCTCTCTCATTCGTTACTCTTCTCCCCGAGAATGCATTTGTGTCAGTGCTGAAAAGCTCTGTATCTTCTGCAGCCGCTTTGATGTCTTAATGACGACGTGAAGAGCGAATTATGCTCAGAGATGCCCCCCCCTTCACTCTGCTTTTGTCACTCTTCAGATTCCAGCAGTTGCATCTGGCTTTTCCAATCTCACCTCACTGACAACAAGGAGGCGGAAAAAAATGCTTGTATTTGACCAAACAAAGCAGTAGGCATGGAAAAACTTGTTCCACTTATCAAAAGGTTTATCACAGTTTCAGCTATGTATCCCAACGCCAGTGTTTTATCTGGATTCGATAGAGCCTTGTTGCCTATTCAGTGTTTTCCTGTCATGTGGTCGTAGAAGGCGGGTAGACTAAACTGTGTTTTTTTTTTTTAAAGAGGCCACCGTGCCATATCTCAGCTCCAGGAAGTTTGATAAAATGCCTTTATCACTTGTATTTTTAAACATTTAACATAGCTGTGGTGAAAAAATGCAGACAAAAAAATACTGATTACAGAAAATGACTGCTGACTGAAATATCAAATGAAATGATGTGTAATTCGAAACAGACAATGTCACAGTAAAACAAGAAATGAGCTCTAACAGACGGGTTTTGTTTGGAGCCATCAGGTGTGCGTGTCAGCATGTGCTTACTTGCATAATGTTGCTGCATTCCACTGCATTATATTTCACATAAAAGCATGCACAATATGTTTTCCCTGTGTTCTCTGGATGTGTGTGTGTGTGTGTGTGTGTGTGTGTGTGTGTGTG